GACTGTACAGCTGTTACATGCAGTATGTCAAAACTGTGTGGCTGTAAATGATATTTTGATAAGGTCAAACTCTGAAGTGTTGTAATAGTTTAAAGTCTGACACCTACATCGCATTTGAGTGCACTAGATAATATTTAAATAGGATATATTATGTTTATCTTGTCACAAATGCAGATAATCGCTGCACTTCTCAGGTGTAATATTTGGATTTCTGTGGTGTATTTGGGTAGTATGTATAAAAGTCCAAAAGTTGAAATGAATGTCTCTGTTATCTAGTTTACTTGCAGTGGCAGGACGAGTGGTTGCATCTAATCAAACCTCTGGGATGTCTTTGCTGCCCCTCACAGGAGCTTCCTAAGCTCTGGGGCAGCGTCTTTCCAGGACTACAAATCACCAGCTTGCAAACCCTCTGGGAGCCTCAAAAACATCAGCAAATCCTGTGCTGGACATCCTGAATAATAATTAATTTTGTCTGAAGTATTGCTGTTTTGATTATTGTTGTTTTCAAAGAGGGTTTTCTACTTCCTCAGCATTTCAAACGGCATAATAAGTGAGAAACTCCGGTCCACATCACAGTGGACGAGTTTCAATTTTTTTCTCCCCTAGTTAATTGAGTTTAAAATGATTTTTTAAGAGCTGTGAGAATAAGAAACAATACAGCAATGTATTAGTGGGAACAGCCACTAGTTGGATGTGTTTCAGTTTGTGAGAATGACTTTTTTTTTTTTAAATATTCAGATCTTAAGCAGAATGATATTTCTGGATGTAAGTGCTGGATTTCAAGAGTTCTTTGCTAGAAAATATTTTTTGCGACTGGTTGCTTGTATTAAAAATCTGTCTTTTTCTGAAGGTGGAAATGTTGCATTCAACAATGTTGTATACTTTACCTATAGCTATGAAAATATCATTTTCTATTTTTGTAAAACTTGACTTTGAAGCCGAGTAGCTTCTCGGCTAGAGATGAAACTGCAAGGATCTTTGCAAAAATGCAAGCCTGCCTAGTGGGGCTGCTGCTGCTCACTAGCTGCCCTTTGCCAGGGGCCTTAGGATGCCCATTTTTATGGGCCCCAGGGCAAGACAGACCATGTTGCTTGCAACTGTGATCAGGAACGTATTGTCAAAGGAAAATTTGCCATGGAAATGCTTTTCCTGGCCGTGCTTTCGACTCGATAGGTTTTCATGGTGGTGCTTGCTGGTGGTTTCTCTGGCGGGCTCCACGGGCAGGCAGGAAAGGCAGCTGTGCTCAGCGTGCCGTGCCGCCCCGCCAGGAAGGTGTGCGGTGGCTGTGGTTGCCGCTGAGCTCGCTGCAGAGCGGGCCTTTCTCAAAGCTTGCCGCCCTCGCCAAGCTTGCCACCCTCGCCATCAGCGCAGCGGCGATTGTGGGTGCCCTGCGAGCACCCAGGTGCTGCTGCAGCTGAAAAAAATCCGGTGAAAATGGACGTTTGGGTGCTTGGTCTTAAAAGCACGCGTGCCGATTTGGAGGTTCATTACTTTTATTTGTTACTGCTTTAGTTTTTGGTCAAACCAGTTTGGTTTGGGGAAAGCTCTTCCCCATCGGGCTGCCTTTGCCCTGGCTGCGTGGGCGCTCTTTCTGCTGGGGTCCGGAGGGCAGTCCAGGGACAGCTTTAAGGTCGTGGTTATGCGTGTGATTCCTCGTGCTGCATTAGTCATATTGGAGAAAGAAACTCCCTGCCTGTAGGAGCAGGGAGTTCAGCGGAGCCTGGGATCCACAACAGGAGCAGAGTGGTGGGGTGGTCTTTGTGTGGGTCGGGCCCCCGCATGCTTTGCCGGAGGCCACGCGAGCTGTCATGCCGATCACGAGAACAGGATAAGGATAGGAGCGATGCAGGAAAAGGGCAGGAATGCTTATTTTAGCAGCCGTGCTGGCTTATGCCAGCTGAAAGTGACCTTCCTCAGAGCTCCTGTCTTCCATAATTCTGTGCATTAATGCTTCGGAGAATGGGGTTTTAAAAGACTTCATTGCATTGCCAGCACCTGGAGAGTCAGAAGAAGGAGGGAGTGAAAGGAGCCAAGGTGCCTCAGCCCCAGTCAGAAGTCTAGGGCTAATGCAAGCATTGAATCCTACAAGATGGGGCTTGTCCTTTTTAAATTATTAACCCAGGAATATTTTCATAAGTCCTGCTATTCTCTCTTTATTTAAAAAAAAAGGTCATTATTACCTTGTCTTTTCTGTGGAGGCAGAGATTATAATGGTGCTGAGATGCATAGGGCAGCTGACACATCATACCATTTGGCCACGCAGCACATTGCCTCCAAACATGTTGTAGACTTTTTGCTTTGTTTGTTTTGTGTCTTCCCCAAGAGGGAAGAAAAAAATAATTGAACTGTTTGACAGTGGAAAAACAAACTTCAGACCAATGAAAAACAGATTTAACTGGTGCTACCATCTTGCTATTTGAAAACAAAAGTACCATTCAACTAGTCCTGGTGGGTTACTGAAGTGTCGATGAGACATAACTATAGCTATAGGATGTTTTGAGAGAAGGGTTGGTGGGGAGAATTTCCAATAGTCCATTGGAGGGAAGTCCACAACATGTGGAACTCATATTTGCTTCGTGAGGCAGAGAATTTACTGAATTTCAACAAGATGAAGAAATCCTTGTCCTGCAAAAATACTAAGGGATTGTTGGTGGGGTGTTTTTTTCCAGTTGTCATATAATTCTAGATGTTTTGTCAGTGACAAGATCATTTATCAAGGAAACAGTAACTTTTCCTGTTTGGTTTCAAGTTACTGATAATAGCATGCAAAGAAGATTCCTGTTCTGCAGTTGATACCATTTGGGCTGTGGTGACTTGGCCAAAAGGCTCCCAAGGTTGCCTTAGGTGTGGGCCCCAGTCAGAATATTGTATTGTTGGAGGCTGGAGAGCCCCTGATATCTCGTCTTCATCTAGCAGTGATGACCTGGAAGAGTTCAGAGCTTGCTGCTGCTCTCTCCAAATGCCGGAGAAACCATTTGACCTCACCCCTGAACAAAATGCAGGTTGGAATGTTTTTTGGTATTTCAAAGCCTTACGTGTCCAGTAACGGCTCCATTGTGGGTTCACGATCTGATCGATACAGCTGTGCTTCTTTGAAACATCCACCGTCTTTACCACAGGCATAATGTTTCTAAAGCATCTGTACAAACCCAACTCTTACAACATACGTGGCTCTCTTCCCAATTTTTAAGGTGCTTTATTACGTGATATTGAAGAGCATTTTTTTTTCTTTATGAAGTGTAACGCTGAACTTTTCACCACGGGCGTGCTGAAAGGGATTTCTCTGTGCACAGATGACTTGTCTGCTCTGATGTATGGATTTTATTTTGGTCTGTCATATTTTATGTACTTGTTTCATTTGTATTTATTGAAAATATTTGAGAGGAGTTGACTCTTCACCGCAGATTCACGTTAAATAATGGCTGAGGAAAGGATCCTGCGGTCTTGTTTAAGCGGGAATAGGCTGCAGAGCGAGGCAGCTGCTAAGGAGGGCAGGACTGCAGAAGAGGGAGCTTGTTTGGAAAGACAGGTATGGGCCAGAAGCAGAAGAGTAAAAGACCCTCAGGAGGAGCTGAGGAGTACATGAAAGATTTAGAGGTGAAGCAAGCAATCCTGAGACCGGGAGGGAATAGACCCTTGTTCTAATGAGAGCGCTTCTGCTGCTTTCATGCTCGGTGTGTATACACTCAGATTTGAAGGCTGTCCTGTTTACAGTATTGAGGCTAGGAGTATAATTTTGAACAGTAAATTGTTCTATTTATTGATTACAATAATCTATTTTGCTTCTGCTGTTGGTCTGGCTTGTTGCGCAGAGTTGTACAGAGCTGACTAAGTGCATTTTTAAATGACTGAAAGCAAGTTCACAGCTGCAGGGAAAGACAGATTAGGAATTTTTTTAAAAGAGGAGGGAGAAATGCAAAACCCTCTACCAGATGCTGCCTTAGCTATATGTATTATTTTGAACCTTGCTATCAGCAATTTGTTTTAGAGATTGGAAAGAAAGTATTGCCCCTCCTTGTTTTTGAATGGACACTTGGACTTCCCTCATGCGGTTTTATTTGACCATCCTGCTGTCTGGAAAGCAGGCTTAAGTCCAAAGACACTAAATATGTTTGCAAAGCTTGAAAGCGCTAAATTATCTGAAGTGTGCTAGAGAGATGAGGCAAAATATATGCAATACATATTCACAAATAGTTTTGTTTTGACATTTATCTTGCTGTGTTCATCCTGCCAGTTGGCTTGGGGCGCAGCTACCAAAAGAATGAACACATGTTGCATTCGTTAGCTCTCATCTGGCTGCACTTCATCTTGCAAGGCAGACGAAATCACGATCACGTTAAATAGGTTGTAATGCGTTTGTAATATGTGTTTTCTTCTGCCTAATGGAACGATAGCCTTGAAAAGCTGTGAGTTTTGAGCTGGGACATACAGCTTCATTTTGATGTAAGGAAGCGAATTTGAGCGTGTTGCCAGTGACGTCATTGCTGTTTCATCTTGAAAGATGTCATATGAAAAATATTCTCCTGCAGCGCTGCCCACCCCCCCGTGAAGCTTTCCCTTGGTGCTGCGCTTTGCGCTGCCGTTAGACGCGCAGCTCTTCTGAGGCCAAACAACGAGCTTTGGGGCAGCAGGGACTGACCTGCGCGCTCCCTAAGGGCTCCCTAAGGTGCGGGGGTCCCGTTTGGAAACTAGTCTTGGTTGTTCGGACCAACTGGAAAATCATGGGCGGTTTTTCACGTGCGTTTGGCAGCCTCCTTTCCCGCTGGCGCCGCGCTGCGGAGCCCACGCGGGCCTCGCCGGTGGCCGGCGCGCGGGCCTGGCAGGGCAGCGCCGCGTCACGGAGGCGGCTCGCGCGCGGCCCGCCGCGCTCCTGACGTCCGCGGGCGGCCACTCCCCGCGGCCGCAACGCAGAGCGGAGCCACGCAGAGCTCTGCCCGCATCCCGGCGCCTGCAGCCCGCCCGCCCGCGCCGGAGCGCGTCGCCGTGGCCCCTCGGGACGGCGAGGACGAGCCGAGGGACGCCGCCGGCGGGAAGCGCTCGCCGCGGAGGTGGCGAGCATGGAGGACGCCTTGCCTTGCCTCGCTGCCGCCTGCGAGCCCGCCGCGCTCCTCGGCTTCTGCACCGGTAACGTAGCGCCCCGCCGGCGCGCCAGGCTCCCTGCGAGCAGCTGCTGCCTTCCCCCTGCTATCGCCCTTCCCTCCCTCTTCCCGGAGGGAAAAGGGGGAATTTCGAAAAGTAGATACCTGGGTAAATACTCGTCTGAGTAACGAAGTTAGCGCCGTAGCTTCGTTAGCTGCCAGCAAGGTGAGCTTTTCCCGAGGGAGGCACAGCTCGTTGCAAGTGCAGCATCCTAACCTCGAGGAAATAAGCAGTCTCTTTTTCTCGGTTGCATGTGGAGAAAATAGCAGGAGGATGGTTGTAAAAGTAGTATGTGGTGGGCAGCGCGCGCCTGGCGCGGTGACTTGGACCTCCTGCCCCGCAGTGTGGAGCCTGGGGTGTCCCGGGACAGGCTGGGCGTGGGAAGGGAGATCCTTTCCCTGCAAGGGATCCTCCAGAGCATTGAGGTAAAAAGCGCTTCTGCGTGACCTGTCTTTGATTTCAGTTCCAATTTTAGTAAATAAAAGAAAAAAAAAAAAAAAAGAAAAGAAATCCTTGCAGGAAAGTCTACGGGCCTCAGACAGGAGGCAGTAAAGATTCATTCAGAATATGCAGTTAAAATAGCTCTGTTTGCAGCAATTTCAAGTACGTCCATTGCTTTTTTTCCACTTCATTTTTACTGATGTGTTGTTGGTGGTAGTAGTAGTAGTAAAAAAAAAATCTTTCAACACAGGCTTCCCTTATTTAAACAGCTGTTACCAAACCAGCCTCTGCTTAGTGTAAATCAGATAATTAATTGCAGCATTCTTGCTGTCTCCAACAAAAGTATGTGAGTTTCTTTTTTAAAGGCTATCTCCAGTTAGAGTTATGCATTTATTGGTCTTGCATGTAAGTGTGTTATCTTGGGGAAAGCAAACCTCACCGAAGTTGTTCTTTGTTTGCTGATTCATGCCATGCAGTTTTTGATATAAATACAGTATCTTACCTAGAAAATCTGACTTTATTTTTCTTGGAATATGGTCTACAGAAAACAGCTTGTAAAAATAAATACAGGCAGGTACTCGGTGCATGAATTTGTATTTGTATGTGTGGGAGAAAGCAATGACCTTGCTGTAATGTACTTTCTTAAACCAGGCAGGGTACTGTAGTTATCTGCATCAGAATTCAGAGCATTCAGTTTAGAATTAAAGATGTTGCAACCCAGGAGAAAGGGGGAGGGTGAATTGAAAATTTTCAAATTACAAGTGCTTCATATAGTCTTTGCAGATGTGCACAATTTCTTATGGTCGAACAGAAAAGGGAGACTCATGTTTAATTTTTTATACAAAATTCAGAATAACTAGAATAGTTAAGGCAAAGATCTGCCAACTTTTTTTTTTCTAGTAGATGCCAATATAAATATATTTCAGTTAATTTAACGCTCTTTAATTATAGTTAAAATTAGTTTAAAATTAATTAGGGAAATCTCTGGTGAAAATCTGGGAAGCATCTCAGCCCTGAATTTGAGGTATGGAAATCTGACCATTTGAGAAGTGTGGCATGTTGGACTGCCCCGTGAGATTTGTATAGGAATCTCCAGATAAAGATGCTAGAAATAAATCTGATTATCTAAATATATTTTACCTGTATGTATTTTTCTTCCCTACATCATGGGAATATATTTTGACTTGTTGCAAGACTGAGGATTTTGTTGAATAAAAGTTAAAGCCAGAATTTATAATTGAAATAAAATGTGGGCTGGGATACTATGGTTTAATATGAGCAATGTAATCTGTTTTAGTCATTTGAAGTCTTGATTCTTACTCATATCAGTTAACCATACATAACTTTTGTAAAAAGTGTCTTCTGTCTGGAAAATAGACTGATAAGAAACTGGTGTGATGGAGAATCCACAAGTCCTTTCTTGCTGAAACTTTTCCCTGTGTCCTTGAGGACATCTTTGCTTTGAAGAGTTTTAACAACTTTGCAATGGCAAGAAGTAGGAAAGAGCTTTAGATTGAGCTAGAAATTGAATAGAAATTTAGATTGAAAGGTGTTTCCTCTCAAAAATATATTTTAATGTACTTTTGATACTAAAAAAAAAAAGTTAGGTTTTTCTGTGGCAAAAACTCTACCTTATCTGTAGCTGTGTGTTTGAGAGAGAGAGAGAGAGGAAAAGGAAGGAGGAAAAACTCCCATGAGATGATGCTCCTTTATTTCTATGTATTATCATTAATACATAATAATCATAATATTATAAATAAATTTATAATAAATTTAGCTCTGGGCTACAGTTTGGTTTGGGTTGTACTGAACAGGATAGGTTTTTTTTTTTTTTAAGCTTAGATCCATTTGTTTAGATCTACTTGAATTTAAAAAGTGCTCTTTGAAATGATATGACCATTTTCCACAAGTATCAGACTTTTTTAATTTCATTTTTTAGTGGAAGAGTGGAGGTGAATCCTTGCTTTTTTTTATAATCCTATGCTAGGTCACATAGTACAAGTCTTCTGATCTGCAAAATCTGGGAAATATTTTAACATATCATGTGCACTACTGTGGGTCTGCATCCAGCGCTCAGTGTCCAGGGTTTGGTTCGTGTTCAGGCACGGCAGTGTCAGGATGACTCTTGGTATATTGACTGCCCGAAATGAGGACTGAGATGTTCTGCCTCTGTCTCTGTTCAGGGTCTTGCGCCTGAGACTCATTTAAACGCTTTTACTCTCAGGAGGTGATACTACATTTAATACTTTAAAAGCTACATTAGAACAGTACTGGCCACAATCCTAATTTAGAAAAGTGTAAATGCTTTCTCTTAACTTCTTACTCGCTTTTCCAGAAAAACGCCATTCTGTAGTATATTGCTTAAAGAATTGAAGTGAGGTTTCTGGGTGAGGGAGCCAAAGGCTTTGTCTCAAGAGTGCTTCATTTTCCAGAAATAAAGAAATCCAGCCAAGATGCTTCTACATCATCTAGGGCTCCTTATTCCCAAGGCTACAGTAGTCCAAATATTTTAGGCTGTATTTTGGAGAAAATCCTCTATTTTCATTGAACCCCCAACGGAAGGGCAAACAGTTCCCTACTTGAACGAGCAGCAGTCACCAAGAAGGAAACGGGAAGGGTTGCGTTTCTGTAGCCATGGCCATCCGTGGTTGTAATTGAAGAGTCTACATGCCTGGAAACTTGTCTGGGCTTCCTAAATGTAGCGACAGGTGAAATCTTGCTCTCCTTGTGTACTCTGCTTTGCTTTTGTTCATTATGTTCATTACTTATATGTAAGGAAATGGAGACAGCTGCCACTGTTAACTGGCATGGTTTGCTCCATCACTTCAGTATCTTCAGCCAAGAGCCTCATCTGAAAACTAGATGTAAAATCCTGCCTCACTGTGCAGTCTGTGAACGTACTGGTGTTGCCTCTTGTGGAGCCATAAATCTACTGAAGAGTTTGAAGAGTAATTTATATTTGTTTATAAAGTTCCCTTCTGTATCGGGTTACTGTAGTTTTCCGTAGCTTTTTCTAATATTTCAGGGTTAAATGAACCTTTTATGAAGTGGTTCTATTAAGCGATTATAAACACAGCTGGATGGAGCAGTCCTTGCTTCCTGCTTGGTGAATTAGTTAGCTGAGCCTGCGCTTCATTAAGGGAGCTGCGAGCTGGATGGGCCAGTTCTGCTTCCAGGCAGCTTCATCACATTAAGTCTAGGATCAAAGGGGCCGCTGCTCTTTGGATGCTGCTGCCTTCACAGGTACTTGGCCACAGGGGAGGTGGCTCGTCCAAGCTCTGCCCCAACAAGCATGAGGGTTTGAACTCCAAATGCCTGCGACTGTAGACACCTTTATGTGTGCCCATGCTTGGATCATAAAAATCTTCCAATAGTGCCTCAACTAAGAAATAAAAATATATGTCCATACTACCTATGTTGGTGAATGTTTACAGCACTGCAGATAGAACTAAATATCTACAATATTTCACTATAACAGCAGTAATATGAATAAAACTACAAAGACAATAAAGGTCTGTAGGGATTTCACCTAATGCTCTTAAGATTATATTAACACAGGCACAGAGGGGTAATATTTCTTTAATTTAGTAGTCTTTCAGAAATGTGGCTTCTTTGCAGCACTTCTACTTCATCTCTTATTGTATCTATCCCACTTTTGACAGTTCTAGGAGTAAGTATTAGGCTTCAAAAATGTGAAAAGAAACTGAATGCTGGTGCATGGTGTTGGTTAGCATTTCTTAAGCTTCGCAGAGAGTGATCACAAGCTCCACTCAGCATTGCTGAAGGAGCGAAGTTGACAAAATATCAAAGGTACAGTTGACTGAGCAAACTTCACCATTGAATGGACCAAAAGCTTCAGGTTGCTGGTAGGTTCTCAATACTGAACTCTACGTCAAACACTGGCTCCATTTGGACCAACTCTTCCTTGAGGGAAGCAGCCCTGGAAATCTCTCCGCAGGCTTCCAGCCTGCTCCTCCTGCAGTGACACGGGGCCGTGCCGAGAGCAGAGCGGGCAAATAAACCCATAAAACTGCGCTGAACATATGCAGAGCCTGCTCTGGGGACAGGTGAAGGGAAGGAATGAGTGAACATGACAGATGTTAGTCACCATTGTTTAATGTGTGACAAGATACTCTGATAATATCGTTGAAACACACAATAGATAGAATCCAAGTGCCAAGTCTTTGTCTTACCTTTTCTCCTTCAGCTTTTCTTTTGTTCATCATTCATACACATACGCAAAAAAAGCAAATTTACAGGGTTTTGCCAGCAGTGCTCTTTAGAAGTGTGCCTGTAGTCAGATTTTTATCTGTGTATTGCTGGCCACATCTATAAAATGCACCAAAGGGCATGATTCCCCGTGGAGAGGCAGAGCACCCTGGTCCTTCAGGTTCTCATGTGCTGCTGCCATCTTTGCTCTTACTCATTTGCGCAGTGACCAGCGTGGTGCTGAGCAGGAGGTTTTTACATGACAAATGGGCAAAAAAAAGGGGCAAAAAAGAGGTTTCTTGTTGTGCTGCTTGCAAGTGGCAGAGGTGCCCATT